CTAAAGACAGTTGTTTTTTGAATCTTCTATAGTACTAAAGCATAATTATGTCAATGTATGTAGGAAATACTCGTATAGTGCAAAAATAAGAAATGTCTCATAAAAATATCGTCTCCCTGGCCTTATCCCACTGGGGTCAGCGCACAAGGTTTTATCAACCTTGCGCCGGCCGTCAGTCTAATAATAAACTACATACTTAAAAATTACATCTAAAAATACGAAAACAAAAAAGAAATAACATTACTCTTTTTTATTGTTAAACAAATTAAACATTATAAACACGAACATCTCAGAATATTATATAACGATTAAATTAGTGACATCTATACATAATAAATAAAATTGGAATGACTGTTTGTAATATTGAAATAACCATTTTTTACTACATTTTTATGAATATATACGTTGCATACACCAAAATAACATATTTTACAATTTTTGTTTGTCTGTCTGTTTGTTCCGACTGATCTCTGAAATGGCCGGACCTATTTTGATGGGACTTTTATAGCGAGGTAGCTGATGTAATAAGGAGTAACTTAGGCTACGTTTATTTCAGAATAATTCCTTTATTTTAGAAAAATAGGACAAACAAAGCCAGTATTACCCAGCTAGTTCAAAATAAAAGCGAAAGGTTTTAACCGCCATGCATGTATAGAGGTATGAATTTAGACGAAGGAATATGCTATAATCTCATCGAATGGAAATCCGAATCACATATTAGAGATGTAGAATGAAATATATTGCGTATAATTGTAGTGAAGAGGAAAGAGTAACATGTATTTTGTTTTTACAAGGGGTCAACGTAACTTCGAATCGTGGTTATTTGATGCAAAGTTCACCAGCACTTATGTTATTGAAGCAAACGGTGCCAGACATCGTAGCAGAGGTGCCGATGAGAGGTATCACCGTTGACTTCGAAAACGACAGCTTTACCCTTCACGACGAATGCGCTATGATCGGATGGCATTTCTTCTATAAAGGAGTTGAGTATTTTAAAGTCTAGAAACAAAAACAAATATGTTTATAAGGCTAATGTGTTCCTATGTATTCTTTCAGACTATGTTCTACATCTGTGTCAAATTTCATCAAGATCCGTTCCGTAGATGCCTTCAAACAAACATCCATCCATACATCTAAATATTCGCCTTTATACGATTTTCGAAACCCCTTGCTATTTGGCATTGAAGTCAAACTCCGCATTATATAAAGCGAAAACATGCTATTCTTAAATTACCAAATGACAGTGATATTGTTACGATTCTCGCCATGTGGCGAGATTTGCGTTGAACTCGACCATCTGTTGGTCCCAACCCACTTGTGTTTGTTTAGTTTTTTACTCTTATTCTGGATCTTTTATATTTTTAGAAATCTTTGAAGCTTTCGTTTGTTTTTTAAACTAAAATACCAAAAGGTCGTTTACCTAATATTGTTGAAAATATTACGACTAATATATTGTTTTTTAAATTAAATATGATGATTTTTTTCAGGATGTAATATATCAAAAGAAGAAATTTCTCCTACAAAGGAATATGCGTGTGCAATTTCTAAATATTGCTAAAAAACGTTTATGGTGCGACCCGTTGTCTGTGAGATTTCACGCAGCACTTGTAAATCTTGGCTTCATAGGTTATTCTGATGAAAGCACTGCAATATGTCTTAGAGATGTAAGGATCAAATATTTTATCAATTTTTATATACATTTTATTCCGATATTGCAAAAACAAGCAGTCACAGTGTTAACTCGATATTACATATTTCCATCAAATGTATTGTATCATATTTCATTTGTACCTCCATACATTTAAAATACAAACATCATACACTTTGCAATATAACTAAACATATCGGTTTTTATTTACTTAAAATAAATTATTTAATTACAGGCAGAAAGAACTGCTCAGCCATGTCACGTAAGTGTTTTATTTATTATAGATAATTAATTTATATTAGAAAATATACTAACCAAATTAATTAATTTATACTATATTAAATAAACTATATACTAAAACTAAACCAAACTAACAATAAAACTAAATAATATAAAAAATCGACCCCAAATTAGTTCACTTCATTATTTATCATTTTTTGTATGTCATTTTTATTCATGTAGATTTTTAAGTAATACAAATAAAAATACGCTTTTAGCACATCGAATTCAGTTCAAACGCCAACCTTTCAAATTGATAAGGTCAATTTAAATTACACTTAAGCCGCTAGCACACTGCCACGAAGCCAAAAAGAACCAAAGCGAACTTACATTTCATATAAGATTTGGTTGATTCCTTCGAGGCATTCACCATTGGTTTCAGAGACCAAAATTACTGTATAAAATATATCGTCAACCCTGTCATTATATTTAACAAAACAGAGATAACGATATGTTTTAAACGAGGATTTTGGTCTTAGAAACACACGGTTAATATCTAAACCAAATCTTATATGGAACGAACGTTCTTTTTTCAAATTTCGCGCTTCCACTTTGCTTCTAGTAGTGATTTACAAGGTGTATATTAAATACGAAGATTTTTTTATAAAGGGTATGTATGGCTCGCCGTTGATCTGCCACGGCGCTGTTGTTGGAATGATGATGGCCCCGGACGCTCAGTGGTCGAATTGCACGGGCTTTAGTAACCTCATACACATATTCAAGAGTAATTCACTCATACCTTACATGAAATGCGTTCAAAGGTGATTTGACAATTTCTATTATTTAGCCCATAATTTTAAGTTGTAGATTATTATAACTTCGAAGCTTGTGGTAGGATTGGCACAATGATGTGTGCTAAGAGTATTAACATGTGCCCACACCCCGGTGAACAGTGAGTCGAGGGAACCAGAGGGGGTTTAGTGGGTAGGCTCCTTGTCCCTTTAGGGATGTGGAGAGAGTCCCACATAACCGGAGTGGCTTTCCCCGAGTCACCCGGTATGCGTAACGCATTCCCCCTCTTAAAAAAAAAGGATTGGCACAATGAACAGGATTTGAACCTACGACTGCTAGTTTGTTAACCTGTACTCCATTACGCTGTTGTCGCTTCCAGTACTGATAGTATTCTATAGTGAATATTATCAACATTTATTGTTGATTTCGCAAAGAACTGGCGTGTTCTGCTGAGTTCGATTTTCTTCTAATTAGCTTTTTTTCTTTGATATATATATACACATACTTATCTCATTTCATTTGAATTCTAGGAAATATTTTTATCGTGTTTTTGTTCATTCAAATATATATTTCAGCCTTTTCGTTCCTGAATTCGTCATGGATTGGGAAACAATGAAGAAATCTTTCTACGAAGATGTGAAGGATGAATACGATTATGTAACAGAATTATATGATGCACTATTAGAAAACTCTGGCAGCACAGAAGAGAAGTAATAAAAAAAGAATAGATAAAAAAAGGTTCAGAACATCCTCGGAAATAAAACTAAATTTTTTGGATTATTTTTTTTTATTTATTGACTAGTGCATCGTAATATAAAATAAATCTTCAGAAGAGTTCCAACGATTTACAAACATGAACCATAATGAAGTCTATCAATATATCCTTAAAATTGCGATGTATTTTATCAAAAACTTAATGCTTTCCGTTTCTTTGAGGTTATAACATTTTGGTACTATTTTGAATTATTCTTACACCACATCTGCTGACTCGGCACCTCCGACACATCGCCAACTTTGCGGTGAATAAGGCGTAGGCTTCGTTGTATTACTGTTGAACTAACACAGGTGAAGGTGCGAGCGCGGGTAATAATAACAGTCACCCGCGCCGCACTAGCGACAATTTCAAACACGTAAACTTATATGGAAGTTTTCATATCAAACTTGCGGCAGACCTTGCGCGTTTTTCTCGCTAAGTCAAGTTAAACCTTACTGTCATCGGGTGAACAATGCCGAGAAATTGCTTCGGGTCTAAATAAATTTGGTCTATTTTTGTAGCCAGACACTGCCTGTCACCAACCTACCTTACTCGGGAGTTTTTAGTTTTTATCTTTAAGCTATATATTAATAACTATATTTCATCAACTCTGCTAGATCTTCTACATATACTGTAACACTTACGCCTCTTAATAATTCATTTACAATTTGGATCCCTATGTACTATCCAACATTTAGTATTCAGTGCCACCAACTTATGTAAAGAGGCGAAAAACTACAGCTGCCATTACTCGTTGACTTGTTTATTTTTTATTAAAATGGCAACACTGAACATCTCGACACAATTGATATAAAAGTTAATGGCACTAAAACTGAGTTCTCACTGACGAATTGTCGAAGATTTACAGCGTCAATAACAGCTGATAGTAGTCCGCCATCTTGTATTATAAACAAGATGGCGGCCGGCTTTATAAGTCCGCCATCTCGTGTTATAAACAAAACTGCGGATTAATCGTGCCTGGATGAATTGCTACTATCCCTCCCGACAACTATCCCTTCTTGTATTAAGTGATAGTACTTGCCGTCATATATTCTATACATTGTATCGTTGACCATAAAAGATATGACTCTAGAAATACATATAACTGCGTACTAAATTTATACAATATATTAAAGTATGTTAACGTTTTTGGCCACATTAAGACACCTTAGAAAAATACATATTTCTTTTGTAAGTCTAATTTTCTATAGTAATTAAGACGTTTCTTTTTAGAATTCAATTGCTTCGTTTGGCTGTCATATTGTAATTAACAATCTACTATTACAGAATAACAATTTTATCATCCACAAGTAGCATAATTTTAAGGCATCTTGTGACAGGATCACTTCTTACTATTAGAAAAAAAAATTAACCGTCTAGGAATTAAGAGAAATTCCTAGAAATATTTACAGATTATTTTCAACCGTATAATGCTGCCAATGCCTGCAGAAACACTATCAAATAACCTTGTCTTATCTATCTTAAAGGAACTAGCTTTAATTCTACTATAACAGTTAAAACGTACATAATAAATAAATAACGCATAACTATACAAAAAAATAATATTAAAAACAGCAGTGAAACTTATACAATTAAAATTATTTTCCCTAAATTAAAGCTCAAGTGTATAAGAAATAAATTAATACAATATAAAATTAATTCGATTCCAGTAACACCTACAAACATTATGTTGTCTCCGTTTTTCTCAAAGAGAATGAAAGAGATGAAAATATGTACAGGTATTCCGGCAGTGACATCTCAAGGTCACGAAGAAAAATAAAGGCACTGACGTTCACATTTTTCACGGAACAAGCTTATCTCGCGTCTAAATTCATAAAATCCTAGTATCATGCGTTAATATAAAGCTAAAAACATTAATTTGATACTACATAGTCTCGGAATGGTTTAGTAACAATTTTAATACGTTAATTTCTAGCAATCCTAAAAAAACACCCTATATGTTATGAGCCCAAGAAGTTATTTTCAATTAAAATATACGTTGAAAGAGATTTAACAATTATGAAATAACAAAAAATAATTATGCTAAGAATTTGAAATGGTTAAAGAGTAAATGGGTAAAATAGTAATTTAAGATATGAACATAGTGGAGATGTAGTCACAATCTTGCGTATTTTACTTAAAACATACTAAGTATTCCAGCCATTTGCTAACAATTGTAAAATAAAGAAGTAAAATTATACATTTATATGATAATTCACATCTAAAAATTACCTAGAAATCTACAATTAAAATGGATACAGTATAAATAGCAAGAATAACTGTACGACATTTAGATTAAATTTTGTGTAGAATTTAAAGAATTATGAACAATAATAAGATAAGAAGAAGAAGTGCAATTAAAATGAGGATAACCAGCCATTGACGTCGATCTGAAAGATAAATAGGATTCATAAGAATTTATTGCAGCAATGGTTACATTTACATCCCAAAACTATTAAGAACAATCAAAATAGTGTCACACCCTGTTATTCTTAAATTATGCAATAAGATGCTTTGAAAAATTAACTTTAAAAATTTGTAAAAAAAAATTATTGGAACATCCTGTATGGTGACTAATATGATAACATATTGTTGTCCCTTTTGTTTACTATGAAAAAGGCAGAGACAGAGTAAAATCCCATATTAATAAGCTCAATTAATAGTAGGTACAAATGAACACTTACCATTGTTCATCTGAAGGACTCTTGCCACTTTCTTAACAGTTGAATCTAATCTGGAACCAGTATTCTCCAATACCGTATTCATGTCGTCCAACATACTAAAAAAATAATCTCCTTTAATAATATATAAATTTATTCGTAAGGATTACTCCTTGAGGAAGATCTATTTATGTTTGATGTGAATTAAAAAAAAGCTTAATCTCAAAGTGACTAGTTTACTTAAAATTAGCGAAATAGACAGTATTATGTTACTTACACAGCTTGTTCATCAAGCTCATTGCCAATTTGCTTAGAAACTGTTTTCAGATTAGCGGCAGAATTACTGATAACATTCAACTGATTATCTTGATTCATTAGCATTTCCTCTTGCAAAGACATTATATCACTTTCATACATATCAAATGGTGGAGGGCTGTCAGTCTGATTTGCAAGCCTGGAATATCTGGAATTCTGAGGTGTTGTTGCCCAGAAATTACCAAAATGTATTGGACTCTCTTCACCTAGCAGAGGCTCCCTGGCAGTGCCATCAATATCATTCTTCCTGTTCGATGTCATTTTGCCTTTCATAACCTGAAAATATTATGAGACAGTGTATTAAAATATAACAAAAAAGTAACACATTACAAATCTTATTATATGTGCGACAAATTATCAAAACATATTAATAAAATTAGAGTGTCTGTATGTAATATAAAAAAAGTTACATTTCACAGACATGAAATATTTGGGTAGGTGATAATGAAAAAATTTTGGAAACTTTAGTCTGTCAGTCTGTATGTCTGTCCTCAAAGCCATGTTTGCATCTGTGGAATGACTGGACTAATTTTGATGGCACTTGGATGAAGTCACAAGAAACCACCACTTTCATTAAGAAATTGGTTAAAGAAAAATATTGGTGAACAAAGGTGTATAAACTAAAAGTAAATTTAACTGTGAACAAATAAAATGTAGAGTTAACAAAAATATAGAAATATGTGTTTGAAGTATTACAGTTTTACCATACCTTTACTTCTTTTTTTGTTGCCTCTATAAATGCCCTTCGCTCACAAATCTCCTTGTTGTCAATCTTAAATTTTGATGAGTTTTTTTCAACTATACTTATATCAACAATTTAAGGAATTAATTTACCACGGGATCAAATACATTAAAGTTAATATTATGTTGTTATAAAAAGAATATGTTAAATATTCATTTACATCTTTATGAAAAAATAATATCAATCTACAATTTCCAAGACATTAAAACCATTTCATATTAAAATAGGTTGAAAAGTATTTAAAAAGGATATTAATTGTGTCTTCTAAGTCTTCCAAATCCCATTCAATGCTACGCAATGCATTCTTTAGCTCTGTTGAGGTCCACTCAACCTCTGGGCTGTTAGGCACTGTGGGTGATTTCGATAGTTCTTGCCAACGTAAATAAAGGCCTCGTGTTTTGTTTAATGCCTTGAACACCTCACTGTTACACCAATGTTTGATTATTTATAATATGTAATCTGATTAATGCGCAACCTATTTCTTTTGGTTAAATGTAAAAAAATATATTTTAACTAATGCTAACAAAAAAATATATGACACAAAACATAATTTCATTTTCGAATTATTAAAATTGATTAGAATTTAAACACTATTTATTCTATCAATTATATACTCAATAAAAAAGCCAGAAAATCTTCTAAAAAGAGTAAGTACTTAACACTTACTGACAATACAAACAAAATTAAATTCAACAACGAAAAATGTGATCATACATTTTGCAAAAAATAAATAAATTAAACAGTGAGCATATGTCTAAAGCACTCTTAAAGTCGACGTTACACCCATCTATTCCGCATCTATACAAACTAAAATTATGCACTTACTCCTTGACGACGTAAAATGGATCTTCTAAAGTCATTTCAAACAGAAGAACCGAGAAAATTCTAGTAGTTGCATGTGATTATTAACAAAACACAATAAGCAAAAATAATCAATGTTTATTAGTACAGTAGTATAGTAGTCCCTGGTCTACCCTTAAAATATCGACGGCTTAAACATACCCCGTGTAAATTCGCTCGATGGACTATTCTCCGTCCTTTGCTAACTCGTATTACTTTCTGCTGCTGCAGCTGCGTACTTCCAAATTCACATCGCGCAGACGCAAGACCCGACACTTAATAGATAATATAGCTACAATATCATATCGACATTGAGCTCGAGCAAATGGCACTGTGAGTATTTTTTTCGTATTTTTGCTGTTTTTGTAATAATTGACTATTATTTCGACAGGTCCACAGATTTAATAAAATGTCAAGTATTATTTTAAGCCAAACCACCAAAGAATAAAAGTCTAAGCGACAGAGCAGCCTCAATACAAAAACCTGTTGATTGCAATTTTATTTTTCTTTTCTTTGTACTCTCAGATTCTCAGTATTTAATTTTCTTATACATTGAGTTGTTAAATAAAATGTAAGCCTTTTTACTAAGCTATTAACAGTCTTAGTAAATATTTGGTGGTATTTATACAAACATACGGTACTATATTGTTTTTGCTTAATGATGTTAGAGCACTTTTCCAAATGTTACAATCATTGTATTCACAAAGCCATAAATTTCATTTGATTCAACTAGTAAATAAGGATCTACTTTATATTTTACCTACTGTCTGAAATCGGCAACTAATACCATAAATAAAGTGAACCCAAGAATTGGGTTTTATAAAATTGCCCGTTAAATGTCTCCGAACAAAGTAATGTCTGAAGTATAAATATCAAATTAAGGAAAATGGTTTCATGTGCTAATACAATTCTAATGTGAAATTTAATTTATAATAGAACAAGCAAATTAAAATTTCAATTAGAAAAATCGTATTAACATATAACATAGTTGTAGAATAAAATATATTATATTCCTCATATTTATGTTTAAAATATTCTCCATTTTGAAGTAAAGCTTTATTAAGCCTTAACTTATTGGTAGATAGGTATAGAATGTGAAGTCATGATAATCGATAATCGTGTCTCGCCATATTAGAAACTATCCGTCGATACAATATGAATGTAGTGAAAAATTAAACGCTATACTAAAAGTAGATGGCGCTAGCTCCAAGAGAGTGCTGTCATCTATCATCTGTCAAAGTTTTTATACGTCATACCAAAGAGGGTAATATGCATATTATACAGAGCCGTCGTATTTTTCGGCAAAACTGTACAATCAGTTTAAAGAATTACTTTTTATATTATTGTTCATATGTGTAAAAGATTGTTGAAAATAGTAAAACTTTTATTTCTGCTAGTACCGATGATGTTGAATTGACATAAACAGAATGTTAAATGTTTTACAGGGGAAATACTTGGACATCTATCTCACCTAGGGGTATCGCCAGATAATCGCTATGCAATATATTGCAAAGCGATTATCTGACTAACCCGACTAAAGATGATAAACTGTGTTGCTATTACCTAAGACATCGTTTGCAAAGTATTGATTGTAATGTAGTTGACATAGACAAAGAGTATCGAATAGCTTACTCCATTTTCTCGAATCGGGCATCACTACGAATTGACAGACTGTCACAGAATTCGGATCGAACTTGTGCACGCCGAAACTACGTTTTTGTTGTTGTAAGAATTTGGATTGTGAAAAGTTTAATTTAATGAACTGTGCGTGAAAAAGTTAAAAATGGATTCAACATTAAATCCTAAGGCGCCTGAATTTTTCCCAGAACTTAAAAAAGTAACACAGGTACTTGATTAAAATTGTCTTCCAAATCGTTTTTGATACGAGCATGTGTTCATATCACATTTTTTTCAACTTTATGAAGAAAATTTGATAGTTTTAAAATTTTACAGTACACCACCCATTAATGTATTATAATATACTACACATATACTTTACATGTTCTTAATCACTAATAAGACCCTACTAGTATTTTGAGTATTAGAAAAGTTATATATATCGTTTGTTATCTTCGTCTGACTCGGCTAGTTAATGTTGTCACCGTGTAGTATTAGGACTGAATTTTATAAATGTTATAGAGATTGAACCTTAAGATGTTTCCTGGAACTATAATATTGTTTTAGAGACTTCTGATTTGTTGCAAATCAGCTTATATCAAATGTAAGATCAACTGCGTGGTACTTTTGAGGCGCAAGTGATACATGACTGGTAACCATATAATACATCAAATCACTAGGACTATTGATAGTTTGCAATAAATGCAATGTTTGTAATAATGGCAAAGAATTGGTACTAGTTGCCAGGAGCAGTATTTCCATCTAAGTATTATGTGGATACCTTCAAGAGTAGAGTGAATATGAATTTACTGACTTAGAGTGCTATTTTTCGAACAAATCACTTTATGTTAGTTGGAATCATGTTCATGTGCTGATTTATATGATGTTTAAACTTATAAAGGTTTAACTGCTTCAAACATCCCTTTATTTTGAGAGACTTATGTGAATTTTCTTAGTTAAATTTTATTTCTTTTACATAAAATTACTATAAGTAGAATTAAAAATGGCTACTAATAGAGTGATAAATTCATCTATTGTAGAATATACACCACTATATAGATTACTAAAATAAAAGCTATTCTATGTGTATAGATTTATATACATATAAGAGTTTACATCATTCTCATTGACATCAGAATTAGTTCTTCTAGATTTTGTGGGTGTTATCAGATTTAACACAAGTCAATGTTATACAATTTAATTGGAATTTACAATATTCATTCATAAATTATTTATATGGCAAAAGCAACGGATTCAGGCACTGATCTTAATTTAATCACACTCCAGCCCCCTCAACTATCACCAATACAACTCGATCAGACTACTCCAGCAAATAAATATTCAAGACGCTAGCTACGCCATACCACACGACATGCAACGTTATTACGACAGATGGCGCCACGACCCAACTCGAGGCGCCAGCTCTGCTCTGTGTTATGTAAATTAACAATTCTTAACTCTTTATAAAATTAGTAACTTTTCTAAGCATTGTAACAATCACATAAAATGAGTTTAAGAATTTTAGCAGTAACTAATATGTAAACAATTCATATTTTGTGATCAAGATTCAAAGAATTTGATTCAGCCCTCTGATTCCTCTGATATATATACAATTAATTATTCTCTTGTGTTGACTACAAAGTTATATGTTTAAGATTGTATGTTGTACTTTTATTAGTACATTGCCATTACCTTACTGTATTTATAATTTATCATACTCCAATAACAACATTAAGATTCAGACCAATAACTTGTTTATTAAGCTTTGTTGTTTGAAGAAATGAAGAGATAAGAAAAAGAGCACCTTGGTTTAATCATTTATTACCTAGATTTGGTTTACTTAATTACAATTCTTTTACTTAAGAAGAAAAGTCCTTATAATCAAATTTAGGCGTAAATATTTTTGGTTTGTAATTGTAATTATTCTCAACACTAGAAGTTTTACTGTTGAATACCAGGTTAATTAGGTGATCAGTAAGGCAAATTATTTGTTTGTAAAATCTATTAGTGTACAAAATGTACATTAAGATATTGCTTAAATGATAATTAAACATTATTATATGGAGGACAGGGATAACTGAATATTTGATACCAAAATACGAAACACATTTTTTTTTACATTTTCTATACAGGGTGTCCGGATAAGACATGCATACCAGTATTACAGATTCCTTGTCGATATTATGACCAACTTACCTTTATGCAAAGTTCCATATAATAGATGTGAGATGTCTTCAAAGATTATAATTTACATTTTTTTTTCAAATACCTAGAAAAGTCTTGATTAAATTTTCGTTATATTGAAACCATGGGTTAGTTTATTAAACTATACCTCAAAAATCAAATGTTAAAGGCATACTTAATATTGTTGCAATCATCTTTAATTACTGTTATTTTGTTTTTCGTGGATAAATAAATTAATCTACAAATTTTTATTTCTCTTACAAAATATTTAATTGCCAAATAGTTTTGTCATAATACAGTATTTTCTAAAGTTAGTTTTGTTAAATCGTCATATTTTCGTCTAAGGTATCTGGAGTACTTTATGGTTCACTTCATATCCAGACATCCTGTATATAAATAAAATATTTGTGTTTTTAATAAGTTAATTATGTGAATGTTTTTAAAACTCCTATTATTGTTACAGAATGGCTACTTACTTATCAAAAAAGCTGTGAAATCGTCAAAGGTTTTTACAACTGATAAATATCATTCATTAAAAACGCTTCCCGCGTTTAAATCAGTGACATCAGACTTATGTAGATATGTTGATTCACAAATACAAGATATACTAGTTGCGGAGACACCTAAATTTTTATTTATCAAAGAGTAAGTATTTTTATCTTACATATTTGCTATAATAGCTTTTATATCCTACTAACTGTCGCCCGCGCCTCCGTCCGCGTCGATATATAAAAATACTTAATATATAGATAAGTTAAATAAAAAGCAGCTCTTTAAGGCATAAATTCGAAAAAAATATTAATAAATAGTATCCTATCTCCTGGCATTAAGCTGCCTCCTCACCAATTTTCAGCCATATCTGTAAAGCCGTTCTTGAGTTATAAATAGTGTAACTAACACGACTTTTATATATATAGATAGGTAACATTACAAAACAATACAGTCTATAGATTGGGTTATAACCCGTTATAAATGATGAGATAGCCTTGAAAGCGTTATGAGGTGGACAATTTATAATGATGTTTTGAAAGTATAATAAAATCTAAGTATTTTAACAGGCAAGGTGATGAATTTAAGGAAGAACAAATAGTAACAACAAACAGTAACATTTTGGATAGAGTTAGTAACAATCTTGAGGAATTGTGCAAAATGGATCACATACATCGTACCGATAAAAATAATCAAAACATACCACCACAAGAGGATGAACCAATGAATGAAGATCTAGCTGATATTGATCAGGAGGATATGTTATATATGGAAGAGGTATTTGTTAATTATATTTAGTCTTTATCCCAATTAGGTCATCATCAACCTGCCCTTATCCCTATCGAGGGTCGGCACAGTATGTAATACTCCTCCATACATCTCTATCAGCCGTCATATCCGAGTCTACCCCCTTTTAACGCATATCCTCTTTCACACAGTCATTCCATACTTTTTTTGGTCTTCCCCTACCCTTGTAGCCATCCACATTCAATCTCATTACTTTTTTGCTTATATCATTATCATCCCACTTAGGTAGGGTCGGCAAATTATGTGTTTTGTTATCCAAATCGTTATAACTTTCTTAATTTCAGATAACTCTCCCTAATGATGCAATCCATCCATCTCTTAATAAATCTCTCCCTACCAGAGTATTCAATTAAATATTATATAAATGTTTTTATTTGAAATCAAGATCTAACGGCTACTTTTATTTATTAATTGATGTACTTATCTCTAAAACATTCTTTTTTTATGTATGTAGTAATTTTAGTGTATTTATATTACTAGGTAATGGGTGCTGCATCAAATTCCCATGTTTATAACATTGAAAACATTTGGGTTCCGATACTGCCGGAGAAACCAAATTATCTTGTTCCGTTTGAATTAAAACTGTTATATGATGCTGATGGAAAAGCTATAGAGTAAGTACCTTAATATATATGATTTACATGTTTGAAGCTCAATCCCATCAAATCTGAAGATAATTTTAATTTGTTTAAAGTATATTGCGATCCTAAGATGGGTAAAATGAAATTACTATTTAAATATATCTTATATAAAGGATAATATATAGATTAAAATTCATTATTGAGTTTGTTTTTAAATCCAAAGAGAAAAGGTTCAGTTTTTGGCAGAAATGTTGGTCCAATTGTTTGCGATTTAAAATATTGAATTTTTAATGTTTTTATTATGGATTATAGTATTTATGAAAGTGATTACATAACTACGTAGAACTACAATTTTATTTATTCGTAACTTTGTACCTAATTGTCCGATGTATTGACTTTACATTTAAATGTTGTTTTTTTTTAAATAATATAATAACAATATCACATAATTTTCAGATATGAACATCCATACAGAATTGAGTTGAGTGTATTTGAACCGGCGTCGTATTTAATTAACGCCACAGCGGAGCCGATACCATTTCCTGCTCCGTTGAAAAATACAAATTATAAATTCATAAACACATTGAGTAAACTTGATGATCTCTTGCGCCATCTTCGTGAAGTCGACGAGCTGGCTGTGGATGTGGAGCATCACAGCTTCCGCGCTTACAGAGGTATATATCTTATCTTTTTTTATATATAAAACTAGCTGTGCCCGCGACTTCGTCCTGAAATATTGTCTTTTGTTAGCATTTTATATATTTAGTCTACTTGTTTTATTAACACTTAAAATATGAAACCCTTTTAACCCCTTTCAACCTTTACGCTTTAAGAAGTAGCCTATGTCCTTTCCCAGGCTTGAGACTACCTGTATGTGTTCATTTAAATCGCTTCAGTAGTTTTTGCGTGAAAAAATAACAGACAGAAATACTTTTGCATTTATAAAATTAGTAATTTAGATTGTCGTGTTACAATGTTAGTTACAATACTCCTTCAACTTGGTCGATTTTTATGAAATTTTATATGCATATTCAGTAGCTCTGAGAATCGGTTTCTATTTTTTATGCCCCTAAGTGAAAATATGCAAAATAATCGTAACTAAGTATGTACATCTATGGATGTGTTAAGGTACGATTACACTAGGATATATTTAGGATATGCTATGCGTAACGCATACCTCCTCTTTAAAAAAAAAGGATATATTTATGAACATGAGTGAGATTATTAGGTTCGTGTCAACCTGCTGTATAAAAATCCCTACAAATAATACTGAAATTATTGTCGGATATATCGTAGTCTAAACGTACCTTAAGACTACTAGAAAAGTTCAAATATTACCTATATGTTGCTTAGCTTAAAAATATTTTTATTAAGATATTTATAACTATAGGCTAGCGCTTTTATATCAATGTATTTTGTTCTTGCTATTGTTTATTTTATTAATATATAGCTTGCGTATATAACTGATAATAAATAATAGAACTATAAAAACCGCGAAAGCTTTTTATCACTTATATGCTAGCTGTTGTCTGCGACTTTAAAAAACTGTGTTCTATATGTATACCAAATTGCATCAAGATCTGTTCAGCTGTTCTGGAGATAACTTCAAACATCCATCCATCTAAACACATATTGTAGAAATGTTATTGCGTCTTGTAATTATTATAAAGAATTTTGAGCACTTTCTTTGATTTGGTTAAAATATTAGCAGTTTTAAGGACTTGAAACCTGAACCATGTGATCCGGCTTACGTACCTTTAAGCGACTTGACTATTAACAATTGTTATTCATAATGTCATTAAGTTATATTTCACTGCAAGATTAACACGTTGACGGACAATTGCGGCTATAGCCGTCAAAGCGAAGTTCACAATGTGGCATGACTGCTATAGCCGTCCAAAACGAAACGGTCGTTTTTAGACACTACGGCTATAGCAGCACAAATGTGCACTTACTGGCGTATACGTAGAAGCATAGTGTCGTGTTTTGAAAATATCTTTTTAGGTTGAAGTTCATATTTCACCCGTTATATATCGTCCTATCACTTAGTGTATAGAGTCCGCTGGCGCCATGACGGTTATAGCCGCAACCTAATTAAAGGTCCTAAATTAATCAAAATTAAGTTTATTTAAGCAGAAAGAGTAAAACTATACTTCTAACATTCTAAAAATCACAAAAACATATAGTGTCAATTTTCGAACTTCGCTTGTTCCTACTGTCCGTCAACGTGTTAATAAACATTATGTCTTTCGCTGAAGCCATATATTCGCTGGCGCATATAGCTACATAGAATGTTTTAATAAATAATATTTAAAATTTATTGCGAATAATTTGCGATAGTCTAGAAATATACGTATCCGTGAAACCTATAATTATGGTTTTTTTTAGGATATATTTATACTGTTTTCAAATTTAAGTGTAAATAAATAAATTTGAAGCTATTTTGATATGTTTATTTACCGTTTTTTTCTTTAAATATTTCAGGTATCACATGCCTTGTTCAAATCACAACATTCCGAGGCGATTTCATTATAGATGCAATGTTGCTGCGACGTCATTTGTACAAACTCAATTTTGCATTTACTGACCCTAAAAAGATTAAGGTAATATATAATATAGGTAAAGTTATCTGACAGATGATTAGACCGAATATATACGATACAAAAGACTAGGAAAATTTAAAATGTTTCTGATAAAAACCTTTTCTTAAATAACTAAATAACAATTATCTGCTTATATTATCATTTCAGATTTTTTTTATTAAAATATAAGTTGTGAATACTAACATTAGTTTTTTAAGCCTTTACTAACTCTATAAGAGTAAAAATATGTAAAATTATTATTATTTGTTCAAGGTTTTCCATGGGGCAGATATGGATGTTTTGTGGTTGCAAAGAGATCTCGGTGTTTACATTGTTGGCTTGTTTGATACTTACCAAGCTGCCGTTACCCTGGATCTTGAAAAGAAGTCTCTGAAGGCACTGTTGAAACTGTACTGTAACGTTAACACCGATAAGAAGTAAGTGATAGAAGATTTTTAGTTTACGGTCTAGTATTCACATATCTCGGCGGCTCTTAAGTTCGCGCGAATCGCCGTCAATAACCTTGAGCTGTCAATATATTTGAAACGAGCTATACAATGTGTAGTCCTGTCCTAAATTAAGATAAAACTTTATGAACAAACTATAGTTACTTAATATAGAAGTAGGCTATCATTTTTATTATAACAAATGTTCTGTGAATATTTTTGACCTTATGAGTTTAATTCTTTATATGACTGAACCCATTAAAACCTTTTATCTTATCTTGATCTTGAAATGTTCGTGGAGGTTTAGAGAAGGTTTAAAAGGTGAGAAAATTTAGAATAATTGCCGGGAACTTATTAAGATTTTTTTCATTCCACGCGGACGTAGTCGCGGACGACGGCTAGTTAGTTATATAAATTTATAACAATATTTTAGGTATCAAACTGCGGACTGGCGTGTCAGACCATTGCCTTATGAAATGGTGAAATATGCCAGAACTGATACTCATTATTTGCTCTACATTTGGAAGAGAATGAAGAATCAATTGCTGGAAAAGAGCAATGGTCAGAGGGAAACTTTGTTGAAGGTTTTCACCATGAGCCGTGACGTCTGCTTGTCGGTGAGTTATATATCATTCACACTAGTAAGTCGGGAAAAATACAACCAAAATGCTTTCGATGGTCAATTGACCGACGCCCAAAAGTCATTTGACCGATTCCCAAAGGTCATTTGACCGATGAACAAAGGCCATTTGACCGAAATCTGATGGTCATTTGACCGGTTAACTTTAAAACGGTTTTATGTTACTAATATTATAATTTTTTTAATACCTCGCGAACGGAGTTGCGGGCTACAGCTTGTATTAATATAATTTCCAGACATACAAGAAGCATGTGGTGACTGAAACCAGTCACTTGTCGCTGTACCAACGATATCACAAGGATTTTGATTTGTCCTGGCGTTCGTTGGCTGCTCTTAAAATCCTTTACAAATGGCGCGATGATTACGCAAGGGAACTGGATGAAAGTCCCGCGTAAGTATGAAAAAAATAACCTGTTTGTTTGGTGGCCCGAAACTGTATCCAGTTACTCTCTTTTCTTTTTTGATATTATATTTCGTTTTTTTTTTATTAGGTATGTATTGCCAAATGTATTGATGCTGACGTTGGCTGAAAAACTCCCCACGGATTTGAAGAGTATTCGTGAATATTGTCCATCGGCCAGAAAAGTCCTGAAACGAAGTTTCATTAAGATTCTTGAAATGATAAAGACTGTAAGCAATTTTATCTTACTAATATTATAAATGGGAATGTATGGATGGATGTTAGAAGGTATCTATAGAACATAGCTTGCAAGAAGAAATAGGCTACTAATAAGCTTTTTTAATTCCGCACCAGACGAAGTTGCGGGCGATAGCTAGTAATTAGTAATTAAAAGAAATATACTTACACAATGTGAAAAAGTGTCATAGAATGAAAAGTGTCATAGAATGAAAAGTGTCATAGAATGAAAAGTGTCATAATAATCTTATCTTATTATGATGTCATTTTTTTAGTGCCGGGATATGCCAGAACCACCTCCAGCTGTGATGCCTCTGGCTATCAGACCTACGGGAGAGCTCTCTCACCACATGCTCGACTTGCCGAATACAAGCGACAGGTACAGTTGAGGAAATTAATTTACTATCCTTTTGAAAATTTGACCCTCATACACAAAAATCTTTTATGGTATTAAGATAGGATAAATTAAAAAATCTAGACACTTATGTTTCAACGGGTTTTGCTGAAATTTGGCATAAATGTAGAACATAGTCTGGAGGAACACATAAGCTACTTAAGTTTTTTTTAAAGTTATAAAGATTTATATTGTTGCAGCGATTTGAATGGCGACGTTGCTATGGCGTCAGAGAATTTACACGAGCCAGATTATGCTGCAGGCGTAGACTCAGTAAGTCAAATAATATTAATTTTACTAGAGAGAAAATGTTTAATTCCTTATGAGTTTTAAATACTAAAACATTTATGTTAAAACTTTATTTCAATAATACTTCTAATCCCTATTTAAAGAGATTAGTCTAAGGATAGACTAGATATTTAAGTCTGAATCTCAAATGAAAGTATTTAAAAATATAATTCAGTATATCTGCCATGTTTTTCTGGAAATTGTTCATTACTTTATATTCTTTGTTAATCTATAAATTTATTTTTCTTTTTATTTTTTTAATTTAGAAGAAAATTTTTAGTTTAATAATCATCTCCCTATTTATTTTCTTATATAGGTTTGGCTCGGTATGAAATAAAAAATATAACACAATTTTTTTTGTTTTTTTTTTTGAGAATAATATTATGTATTCCAAATTACTATGTAGTAAAGTTGAGGAAGAGACTAGAAATTATCAGAATTGCGCAAATTCTTAAAGTTTCAACTCTGCTTATCCTTTTATGTTGAACTACATTTTACTATAATGATGTTATATTTTTTTAACCTAATCCGGTTTCAATTATATAGTTTATTTATCTATAATTTACGAAAACACAAAATTAATTAATTTTTTTTCTTTTTTTTTCTTTATTTTTAGACATCTTATGAAACAGGAAGCGGCGATAATCGATTCTGTTCACCTTATCTCAGATATGTGAAATGTGTGAAAGTTGAGGTAAATAAAAAAAATTACAAATGCACCGTGAAATGCTTTTGACTAACAAAAACTAAAAAAAAAATGTAAAACTAGCCTTGCATTACTAACATTAGTACATTAGATAGGCAGAAATTAATTTAAATTTTTCTCACAAATAAAAAAAATTAACCAAAGCTGCTTCATTGAAGTTTCTGTAAGGCAAAATCATCATCAAAACAATTTATCATATTTGCCTTCATTTTGGATTCTCTCATTTTTTAAGGAGTTTAATAAAAAGTTGGGATTTATTGGCCAACTTTTTTATTAAACTCCTTAAACGGCTCCACGGGACCGCGGACGAGTGCGAAAGCGTGCCCGTGGTCCCGTCCCGATGCGTCAGAGGGCAGTCAGGTTTTAGTGGGGGATTTATTGGCCATTATTGTGTTTTTTATTGATATTTAATATTTTGACAAGTAGCTGGTGCATAGTAACAATATGGTGTTTGGCTTATATGACTTTATTCATCATGTAGCTTATGTAATAGGACTCATCATAAAACTTGTAAATAAACATGTCATCTCTAAAGGTTTTTGTAGTGGAAACTTATGGTTAAAGTTTATAATTATTTTATTAAACCAGTATGTAGAGACAGAGAGAGGTAGAGATTATTTATCCTGACATCTCCTTCACTCCTTCACTTATTATACAAATAATTAATCATAAAATATTGTTAATTATCTTTTTTGTTTATATCAAAATCATGTCATTGTCCATTTCATGTTTAGTGATATATAACAATATTTTATTTACTAAAAAATGTACATAACTTTTTATAATTGAAGTAAATAATAATTAAATTTTCAGTCCTTAGTTTTTGAAAGTTTCTACAAATAATATTGTAATTTTTCATAACAATTGTTAAATAATTCGAAAACGATAATAACTGTTTCAGGCGGAACAGCAAAAGGAAGATGATAAAAAGGAGGTCCCCGTCGCAGAGATTACAAATACAGAGAACGATCTTACGGAATTTACTCCTATCTTTAAAAACAAAGAGACACGCGAAAAAGAGGCCGAGGAGAGGGCTATGCAAAACCCAGAAGCGACAGAGGAAGCGTATGGTGCAGGCGAAGGCACTTCTTACGACTTCACTCTAGTCACTCGACGTAAACGAAAGAGTCGGCCCAGAAGAGAGATGCTAGATGCCCAGGAACAAGCTGACAAACCCGCCCCACCGACAAAACGCGTGTACTATCAGTACACAAACCCAAACTACAAAGAATTCTACACTCCCAGGGATAAAGCAATTGCAAAATTGCAATCGAAAAAGCGCAAGTAAATTTCCTTATATTAGATTCATAGAATCGAAAACTGTATGACAATTAAGTTTAACTGGTAATTTCAACATAATTATATATGTAGTTGATCAGAAGTCTATGAACTTCAATAAAATCATGAATGTAGTTGATGTTACCATTTACCGAGAACTTCAACATAATTATAAGTGTAATCGATGTCACCACTTGCTAAGAACTTAAAACATAATTATAAATGTAGTCGCTTTGAAGTTTAAGAACTTCAACGTAATTGTCAATGTAGTCGATCTGAAGTTTAAGAACTTTAAAACTTTTCAACATCATTAATGTTCGCTCTGAAGTCTAATAACTTCAACATAATTATAAATGTAGTCGTTCTGAAGTCGTAGAACTTACAACATAATTATAAATGTAGTCGTTC